AGCACTTGTCTCTGTGCCAGGGGCATGGGCGCTGCCCAGCCAACATCTGCTCAGAGAGCAAGTGCAAGTGTGCGTGTGCGTGTGCGTGTGTGTGTGTGTGTGTGTGTGTGTGTGTGTGTGTCCTGAACCTCTCCCAGCCATCCATCCGCCCCTGGCATCCTCTGAGGGCAGATGTGGGCGTGCAAATACTAGCCTGGCACTTGGGTTTGGGAGGTGCAAGAGGAGAGAGCAGCCTGCTTCCGATGCTCTACACCAGGACTGTGCCTTGTGGGCGTTGGGTGGAGGGGACTCTGGTCGGCTCCACGGGTCCCTCAAGAGACACAGCCTTCTTGGCACGGGTCTTTGCTGATGGCACTGTCCCCCAGGGGCAAACGCACCCGAGATTCTGCTGATAATTTACTAACCCCTGGAACCCTGGGGCTGCCCAGAGCAAGCTCCTTGGGTCCAGCTGGGGTCCGGACATCCTTCCTCTAACTAGGACAAGCACACACCTCCCAGCCTTCCGCAGGAAGACTGGCTGCTCTGCCCACACATCTGGGCCACATCTGGGGGTTTCAGCCACCCTCAACCTTGTCCCTGGAAAACACTCCCCAGGGGCTGGGCTTCTTTTCCAGCATGTGTTCATTCTCCCCCGCCCCCACCCCCTCTCTCTCCTCTGGCCCAAATACTTCTACCACTGCTTGCCTCTCTGCCTCCCCCGTACCCCCCACCCCTGGTTTTCCTGTTTTGTTGTTTTGAGATAGGATCCCTCTTGGTAGCCCAGGCTAGTCTCCAATTCTCAGCAATCCTCCTGCCTCAGCCTCCTCAGTGCTGGCTAGACAAGCGTGCCTGAGCAACAGCTCTGGTTTTTGCTTCCTCCCAGTTCTTCACCACCCTCTCTCTCTCTCTGTCTGTTTTCACGCTCCCTCTCTTTATTTCCACGTTTCCCCCAGTTCCCCGGCAGGGTGGCGGTCCCCTCTTACCTGTGTTGGAGGACAGGCGGGTGCTGTGGGCGCCTCAGGGCCGACCCCCCATTTTATAACCTGGCAGACACCCGGGCCTATAGTGTGCAGCACAAAGAGGCAGCTGGCTCAGCAGGGCCTGGCCAGGGTCCAGGGCCGGCTCTGCCCCGGTACCGCACAGGCTAGCACTTTCCATTGTGGGGCAGGAACACAGAGAAACCCTGGCCCCAGCCCTGTTCTGGCCACAGCGTCCATTGCCCTGGCTGGACACAGGCCCAGGGCCCCGCTGGCTGCCAGCCTAGGGTAGGGAAGGGGCACCAGGGAGGATGGCCTGAATTAGAATCCTGCCTCAGGCACCAGACACAGCGTGGTGGCTTCGGAAGTCTCTCCCTCTAGGGGTCTCAGTCTGAAGGTACAGGTGACATGTCTCCCTGCGGGGTGCCACACAGAACTGAGCGTGGACGTGGTTTCGTAAAGACAGAAGGGTTCTCAATCCACGGCCCCGTTCCTGAGCACTTCTGTGTGTTTGCAGCCTCTGGGTTTGTGATCGGCTCTGAAGCACACCTGCCCTCACTGTACCCACTTCTCAGATGTGGAAGGTTGGGTACAGAGGCCGGTACTGGCCAGGGGAGGCAGGCAGACTTTGGCCTGCATGCTCTGTCTCAGGCCATCTGACCTTGGCCCTGACTGAGGTCTGCCTGATATCCCGTTTCTAGTGTGGTGGTGGGTGGGGCTGGGTCTCAGACTCTAGAATTTGATATTCAAGGCCTGGGTCCTTCAACCTAACTGCCCGTCAACCCCCAGGGACTGGCCTCAGGGGTGCTGCCCAGGGTCAGGAACATGGAGTCTCTGAGCAATCTCATATCTCACTGCACCTGGCTGGGCAAAGGTCCGGCGCTTAATGCACGTCCTGGGCCCTCACAGGCTCCCGACAGTGTCAGGATAAAATGTGTGTGTGTGTGTGTGTGTGTGTGTGTGTGTGTGTGTGTGTGTGTTCCACAGTGTTCACTGAAGAGGGTGGAGAGACAGGGTGATGGACATCCAAGGTGAGGACACAGACTGAAGGGTGGAGAGGGACAGACAGAAAGGGAGGTGGGGGGGACGGTAGAAGAGAGAGACCGAGGGAGCCCCAGTCAAAGGAGAAAGCAGGGTAGCCATGCAGCCTGGTAGACCAGTGAACCCCAACAGGTGTAAGGCAGATGGTCCACCATTGCCCTCAACAGAGAAACTGAAACCCACACAGAACAGGTTTCAACCTTGCCCACAGTGTGAACTCAAAGTGGACGACTGTGGCATGTCTTTACCCCCAGCGGGGTGCATCCGTCTTCTGAGAAACCCTTTTCCCTTGGGACGTCCAGGACCCCCATGGAGCCTACCTCTGTCTTGTGGTCACTCTGGCCTAGAGCCAGCGCTGGCCCTCCCTTTCTCCCCATGAGCCCTTCTCCCTGCCTCCCTCCTCTCTGCCTTTCATCCTGGGCCAAGTCCTTGAAGGGCAAGCTGGGAATCACAGGATGGGGCAGCCTCTGGGAGTCAGGCCAAGATGCTTGTGGTGGGGGCCACCCACAGGTCTGGGTTTCAAGGGCAGGCATCTGGGGTAGTTTTGTCCCCCTACCATCCTGGCCATGGGCAGCTTGCCAACGGTTCTGGGAGATGGGAGCAGCCTCCCTTGCTGGGTAGCTCTTCTCTGAGCACTTTGTGACTCTTGCCAGTCTGCCTTCAGATGAACCGTTTACAGACAAGTTGGTGGCTCCTTTGTCCCCTTCCAGCCCTCTTTCCCATCTGCCATGTGGAACGGGCACTCACGTTATTCTTTATTTCTTTTTATTTTATTTTAAGACAGGGTCTTGGGGCTGGAGAGATGGCTCAGAGGTTAAGAGCACTGGCTGTCCTCCCAGGGGTCCTGAGTTCAATTCCCAGCAACCACATGGTGGCTCATAAACATCAACAATGAGATCTGGTGCCCTCTTCTGGCCTGCAGGGACACATGCAGACAGAGTACTGTATACATCATCATCATCATCATCATTGTAGACAGGGTCTCATGTAGCCCAGGCTGACTCCAAGCTCTCTATGTAGCTGAGGCTGGCTTTCCTGCCTCCACATCCCAAGTGCTGAGATTACAGGTGTGCATCACCACACAGGGCTGTGGACTCGGCTCCTTCTAACCTCCTGAGTCCAGACTCTTAGACGCTCTCAGTTCCCGCTTCGGGGGAACCGTCATTCATAATGATAAGCACTTCTTCTGTTAACAAGGATGGCGAAAGTGGCCCAGACCCAGCATGGTTTCCAATGGAGACCAAGGAGCTCTCCTACTGACTGCCAAAGTGTGTGTGTGTGTGTGTGTGTGTGTGTGTGTGTGTGTGTGTGTTGTTGCATGCTCACATGGAGGTCAGAGGACAACTTGAAGGAATCAGTTCCTTCCGTCCATCACGGGGGCCTGAGCACTGAAGTCAGGTCATCAGGCTTGGTGGTAGGTACCCCTTTGAGACATCTCGTCAGCCATCAGCCCCCACTTTGTCTTTTTGTTTGTTTGTTTGCTTGCTTTTGTGTTTTGAGACAGGGTTTCTCTGTGTAGCCTTGGCTGTCCTGGAACTCACTCTGTAGACCAGGCTGGCTTCGAACTCACAGAGATCCACCTGCTTCTGCCTCCCGAATGCTGGGATTAAGGGCGTGCGCCACTACCGCCTGACCCACTTTGTCTTTTTATTTCCAATTTAACCCACGACATAATTGAGGCTCAGAGGCATTAGGAACCTGCTCAAAGGTACTCAGCTCACAGGTGTGGGATGCAGACCAGGCTGTTGCCTGTGGAGGCCGCATCCCATCCACCCTTCGCCAAGTCCCGCATGGCTGACAGACAGCTCTTTTGCTCTTGCAGGAAGGAAGAGGTGTTGCTGTTTCCTGGCCATCAGGAGACTCGCTCTTTATCCAGGTCATCTCACTCAGCCGCGGGGGCGAGTTTTACCACAAGTGGTTCCTGCCTCGCTACCTGCTCCTGTGACAGGTCCTTCTCAGGCTGCCTCAGAGGCAGGGTTTCGGGGGGTTCCACGCCTTGGGTGTTTGTCCGCCACACTTTGCGCTTCGTGACGTATGTTTGCAAGCCGCAGCCCCTTGCTTCTGCGTGCGCAGCCACAGACTGTTCCACAGGTCTTGCTGACCGCACCCGCCCTGGCCCTGACCAACGTTCTCCCCCCCCCCCCCCGCCCCCAAAGACTTGTGCTCTGTCTCCTCTGCATTTGCTATCCAAAGGCCTTGCCCCGTGCCCCTGGGGTTTAGAATGCCCCTCCTTTCAAGCCACTGTAGAATTGCCTCCACCCTTTAAATGAGTGGCCTCAAGCCAGAGCCTGACACCCAGCTAGAAGAGGCAGGGGCGTGTGGAGTGGTGGAGGAGGGTAGGTGTGGAGGAGTGGAGGAGGAGGGTAGGCATGGCAGCCCTGAGATCTGGCTTACGTCTGTCCTATCATGCAGACAGACAGAATCGCACACTGTCAAGGTGATGCTGGACCCCAGGTCTAGTGTTTCCCTGGTCCTAGTCAGGAGTCCCGCGGAATCGCTGGAGGTGGACTGTCTACCTCTCATCTTCTCCAGTGCTGTCCCTGGGGCGGGCCACTGTCCCCTCCCCACGAAAGCCAGAGCTGCTGACACGTCCACCCTGGGCCTCGGCCAGGACTGGCTTTTGTTTCGACCACTGGCTTGCTGAGTCTGTGTTTGTCCCTCGGGGCCCCTGCCCCTTGCCTGCCTATAAGAGCCTGACCTTGTCTGGTCCTGGTTCTGACATGTGCTCTGGGCCCTTCTTGGTAAGTCTGGGTGGGAGGCAGGAGTGGAGCTGAGCTCTCCGGTGGCATCCTTTCGGGGATGTCACTGGTCACCCTGAATGCCACCATAACCCAGGTAGTCTCCGAATGTCCAGACTGTTGCTGCCTATGACTTATTTAAATGCAAAATCCCCCCCCCCCCGCCACTGTTCTGTGGCCTATGTGTGTGTCCACTATGAGAGCCACTATGCCTTGGGCTAGCATTGCATGTGTGTGTGTGTGTGTGTGTGTGTGTGTGTGTGTGTGTGTGTGTGTTGGTGTGTGTGTGGGAGTAGTGATGCATCCACCTCATTCCACCCAAATAGCCACAGCCACCCCACTGTGAGCTGGGGCTGGAGGAGATGATACCTAGATGTGGCTGAGGAGATGCCGTTTGCAGGAGGGGGGCATGGGAGAAGGGTCACCCCAGTTTAGGGACACCCAGACCCATCTGGATTCTGCCCCTGCTTCGGTCAGGGATGCGGCCGGGAATCAGGTCAAAGGTGACTGTGTTCTTCTCTCTGTAGGACCGGGCCAACATGACCCTGCAGTGCACCAAGTCAGCCGGACACTGGAGGGTAGGGAGTGGCCCGGGGAGCAGGCATCCTGGGAGGAGAGGGAGGAAGCCAAGCTAAGAACCCCCAAACAGAACTTTACTGACCCCTCTATCCTGGGGGAGGGGTACCAATTGCCATGCACCCAAGTCTCAGACCAGGGGGTCACACAGCCTGAGCTTGAACTTGGGTCTTCTGGTCCCCACCATTGGCCCACCTCACACAAGCTTCCTGCTGTATTGCTTTGACCATGCTGGACTTCAGAAAGAGGAACTCAAAGCTGGGTGTGATGGATGGCATGTGCCCATAATCCTAGCCTGAGCAAATGGAGACCAGAAGCTTGTGAGTTCAAGGCCAGCCTGGGCCTCATGAGATAGTCTCTCAAAACAAATAGTGTGGAGGAGCCATACAAAGGTCTTCCGTGAAGGCCTTGAGAAATGGAAGCCCTGCCTGCATTGCCCTTGATGTCCGCGGGGAGTGATGGTGGATAGAAGTCGTCCATACTCTAGGCCTACGCGGTCCAGGACAGCCCACTCTCCACCCTGCTCACCATCTGGCCCTGGAGGCACTTTCTGTTTGACTTCACCAGGGTGAGACCCTCACTGCTCACAGGACCGTGATCCCCACACATCTCCCTTCTTTCCTCTGCAGATGGTGGTGTGGGATGAAGAAGGCTTCCAGGGCCGTCGGCATGAATTCACAGCTGAGTGTCCCAGTGTGCTGGAGCTCGGCTTTGAGACCGTGCGATCTTTGAAAGTCCTGAGTGGAGCGTGAGTCTGGAGGAAATTGCGTCAGGATGGGGAGGTGGGGGCAGAGGGACTGGAAGGGATCCGGAGAGGATGCTGGAACCCACGTATGTTCCCAGACATATCTTTCTAGACTTTAACTGTACCTATGTGTCCCTCCCAGGCACAGAAGAGAGTGCAGGGTTGTTGAATCACGTTATCCAGGTTGTGCGTGTCCCACTTGTAAGGGACACCATCACACGGCCCCTGCCCATTAGTTGAGGCAGCCCCGGTGGGTCTGAAGATGTTCCTCTTAGACATAAACTGAAAGTAAGCATCGTTTACCCTTGGCCCTCGAGACTGGCAGCCTGCAGCAGCCCTTCCTGCAAGGATGGGAAGATTTATAAATCTACTGAATCTGCTCGAGGGTCACTGGACACATGTGACCATTGAGGAAGAATTTCATATGCATATTCTGTGACTTAAGAGCTGAGTTTTAATTTTCATTTAATCTTTAGATCAAATGTAATTAGTTTGTATGTGGCTGATGCTTATTCCATTGGGTAGAAGATCCCAGAAAATTAGGAAGAAAACCAAAAGGAGAGTGGTACTTTCTCTGTATGACTCAGAGCCAAGGCTACTTCTGTGGGTGCCTCCCAAGGTTACCTTGGTGGTCTGTATGCATCTTACACCACGGCGATTGTTTTTTTTTTAAAGATTTGTTTATTTATTATGTATACAGTGTTCTGTCTGCATGTATGCCTGCTGGCCAGAAGAGGGCACCAGATCTCATTACAGATGGTTGTGAGTCGCCACGTGGTTGCTGGCAATTGAACTCAGGACCTCTGGAAGGGCAGCCAGTGCTCTTAACCTCTGAGCCATCTCTCCAGCCTGGCGATTGTTCTTTTAGCTTCTGCTCTATTCAGGTTGGGAGACAGGGCCCAGGACAGCTGCCTATCTAGGGACGGTGTCCTGCAAACTGCCAGGTGAGGCTGGACAGGAGGAAAAGAGCCTGGATAGACTCCGAGCACTTATTACTTACACAGACAGCACACACAAGTCTCCAGGGTTCTCTGTCCCCGAGGGAGACACAACACAAGGGGACTGCTAGGGGGCTCCTTCCATGCTTCTGCCCAAGGTGGGAATGCGGAAGGCCCTTCTGCCACGGGAAATGAGCATGGAGAAGCTGTCCCAGAACCTGGGGAGGGAGAATGAGCAACATCTCAGGGCAGACAGCTCCTGACTCCTGTCAATCTCAGGTTCTGACAGGACCATGAGGAGTCAGCCCATGGCTGAACCCTGTCTACACGATGTGACCTTGGTGGCAATGAATGTGTGAGGACCTCAGAGCACCTGCCTAGGGCGGACCCTTCCCTGTTGGACACAGGAAGCCAGTGTGATGCTGGCTCTAGGCAGAACTTCCTGTGTTGGGCTTAGGCAGGGTTTCTCACCCTTGGCATTAGCAAGGTCTAGGGCATGACTGCTCTTGGGCAGGGTGACCTGGGTGCTGTGCCACCGTTGGCTCCCACTTACTGAATGACCATCGCGTCCCCTCCCAAGTTGTAAAGCTGTAACAACCCAGGCACTTAGAGGCTCAGTCACCCCCATTCAAGCCCTGACCCAGCTCTCAGGTCGGCAGCTCTTCTTTCTTGCCATTTCTGCCCCGTTTGCCTGCAGGTGGGTGGGCTTTGAGCATGCTGGCTTCCAAGGGCAACAGTACGTGCTGGAGAGGGGCGAATACCCGGGCTGGGACGCCTGGAGTGGCAACACCGCCTACCCCGCTGAGAGGCTCACTTCCTTCCGGCCTGTGGCCTGCGCGGTGAGTCCTGCTGCCTGTGCACGCGCGCACACACACACACACACACACACACACACACACACACACACACACACCTGCCCCCGTGACCAGAGCCCTCCCTGCTCATGGACACTTGGGAATCAAATCTCTAAGCTCAAGCTCTCATCCATCAAGAGAGTGATCTGGGTGGTCTCTCTCTTCTGTTACCCCCAGTCTCTGTAATTTGACAGAAAGTGATAGCACCCATCTGTGGCTACACCCCAACATGAAATCTCGGCCTGTAGCAATTTTGGGTACGGTGGGTTGGTATTTCCCTCTTTTCATGGTTCAGGGCCCCTGGGAGAGCTGGATGCCAGGGAAGGCAGAGCTGGCTGGGAGGATGGGTCTTACATATTGTCCCCAACCCAGCGTCTCCTCTCCATTGTGCATTGCGGCTGTTGATGGAGATGGACGCCGTCCCAAAGATGGAAGGGAGATATGGTTGGCTCCGTGTTAAAGCTACGGGAAAGTGGAGCCCCAGAAACACTCACTGGGTGGTGCACTTGAGCTCAGCCAGCTGGCAAAGGGCAGAATTGGGAGTCTAACCCAGATATTCACACGGTTTTTATAGCACAACACACTATCTTCCTGCCCGGGCTCCTGCTATGGGACATTTGGATCAGTTCCTTCATTTTTCACAGTTATGGTGGATATCCTTGTAGTTTTTGTTCTGTCCTTGTGGAAGACAAGATGCTGAAGCATCTTGTAAAGCTTCCCGCTGCCTGTTGCCCTTCTCAGAGCTGACTTGGGAGACAAAGGCCGAGCGAGGGGCAGTGGCTCCTGTGTGTCCCACCCGGCACCTGGCGGGCTGACCCAGCTCTCTGTTGTCTGTAGAACCACCGTGACTCGAGGCTGACCATCTTCGAGCAGGAGAACTTCCTCGGCAGGAAAGGCGAGCTGAGCGACGACTACCCGTCTCTGCAGGCCATGGGCTGGGACGGCCCGGAAGTGGGCTCCTTCCATGTTCAATCTGGGGCGTAAGTGGACCCCCCGCGGCTCTGGCTGCCAGGACAAAAGAGATGTGGGAAGGGCTGGGGCACAGTCTGTGGAGACTGTGTGCTCAGCATGCCGGAGAACATGGAGGCACAGAGGGTATCAGACGGAATGTACGGGATTGCGAGTGACAGATGGGCACCCAGGGCAAGCAAGCTGGTTTAGGGACAAAGGATGTATGTGGGTCCCGGTGAACAGCTTCAGGCACAGCTGGATCCAGACACTACTGGAATCTGCCTTCCTCCCCGTCTCGCTCCACCTAGCTCTGTTCTTAAACCTGCTCTTCCCCGGTGCAAAGATGGAAACTTTAGCTTTATACTCTCCCCACAGCGTGAGAGACCATGCCTGACTCCATCTAAGTTTCCAGGGAAAGATCATAGAGGTCCAGCTTGGGTCATGTGCTCCCTTCTGAACCAATCACCATGTCCAAATGAATGGAATACTCTGATTGGCTGGATAGGGTCACATGCTTTTTGAGACTCTGGCTTCAGTGTCGTGTGTCTCCCCCCTACCCCTATCCCCCCCTCTCACCTCTTGACTGGGGCCAGGAGGGAGATCAGGTGGGAGGGAGATCAGGTGGGAGGGAGATCAGGTGGGAGGGAGATCAGGTGGGAGGGAGATCAGGTGGGAGGGAGATCAGGTGTGTGAGCCCAAGTCTCCTTCTCCAGGGCACTTGGCTCCTACAAGCAAGGATGAAGGTGTGAAGTGGGACTTTTGTTTAGACGGTGACGACCCAGATTCAGGATGTGTCTCAGTATGGGTGACACTGTTCTCTGCTCACTTCTCTGTTCTGGAGAGAGGAAGGTGGGGGCTCAGGAAACCCAAGTCAAGAACCCCTGTCGTGAATAATGCAAGGGGTCCATGTCTTGGAACAACTGTGAGGGAGGGCTGGACAGAGAAGGACTTCCTGTCCATCCCCTCATGCCTTCTTTCCTCATGAGCCGTTCACTGGCTCCTCTGGTGCACAGTGTCTGTGCAGGGAGACTGAGGGATGAGCTCCAGGCGTCCTGCGCCAGGGCTTACTCTAGGGAAGGCAGACAGCTCAGAAAGTAATCTTAAAACTATCCAGTTTGGGGCTGGAGAGATGGATCAGCGGTTAAGAGCACTGGGTATTCTTCCAGAGAACCTGAGTTCAGTTCCCATCCCAGCAACCACATGGTGGCTCACAACCATCTGTAATGAGATCTGGCGCCCTCTTCTGGCCTGCAAGGATACATGCAAACAGAACACTGTATACATAATAAATACAATAATCTTAAAAAATAATATCCAGTTTTATCCCCGTTATGAAGGGACAACTGGGGCCTGGTGGAGACAGGTGGATGGACAGTCTTGAGAGAGACCGTACACTGTGGCCCTGAAGAGTGGCTGGAAGGGTGTTTCTGCCCCGAGGAACAGCAGCAGTGAAGTCCTCATGGGGAAGGAGACAGCTCCTACACACACGTGTGGAGAACCAGGGCCACGAAGCCCACCTGGCTGGTTGGGCTTTTCGGGGCATCTCTGCCTGACCTGGTTTGGGCCTCAGCGCCCCTGTGTGGTAACTGTCGCTTCCATTTTCCAGGTGGGTTTGTTCCCAGTTTCCCGGCTACCGAGGTTTTCAGTACGTACTGGAGAGCGATCACCACTCGGGTGACTACAAGCACTTTAGGGAGTGGGGCTCCCATGCGCACACCTTCCAGGTGCAGAGTGTGCGCAGGATCCAGCAGTGAGTAGGCGCATGCGCAGGCGCACTGGGGGGCCTCCGTGAACGACTGAGTGACTGGCCGGAGATGTGGCTGTTCTTGGTTCTGGCTACCCCTATGTCTCCTGGGAACCCCCGCACCCCTGTCAGCCAGCCCATGCCCCGCCAGCTCACGAAGCTCAAAGAAATAAAATTAAAAACAAAAGGCTCAGTATCACTTGTGCTTTTCAATTTCACCTGCCTTCCTGATGAAGCGATTTGTAGCTTTATAAAATTTCTGTCATTTGTCTGGTTTTAAGGTTTATTTTATCCCCACCCCCACCCCGTGTGTGTGTGTGTGTGTGTGTGACATGCACCTGTGTTTGTGAATGCCATATATGCAGAAGAAGGCTTCTGATCCCTTGGAGCTGGGTTACAGGTGGTTGTGAGGGGCTGGGTGTGGGCAATCTGCTCCACATGCTAGAACAGCAAGCTCTCTCAGATGCTGAACCCTCTCTATCCCTATTCTCTCTCTCTCTCTCTCTCTCTCTCTCTCTCTCTCTCTCTCTCTCTCTCTCGGTTTTTCAAGACAGGGTTTCTCTGTGTACCCTTGGCTGTCCTGGAACTCACTCTGTAGCCCAGGCTGGCCTTGAACTCACAGTGATCCGCCTGGCTCTGCCTCCTGAGTGCCGGGATTAAAGGTGTGCGCCGCCACCGCCACCGCCACCGCCACCGCCACCGCCACCGCCACCGCCACCGCCACCGCCACCGCCACCACCACCACGCGGTTCCTATTGTCTCTTTTCCTGATTCATGCTTTATTTTTTTTTTTTATTTCATGTGTCTGGGTGTTTTGCCGGCATGTAGGTCTGTGCACCACCTGTGTGCAGCGCCCATAGAGGGCATCAGATCCTCTGAGACCAGAGTTAGAGACAGATGTGAGCCTCCATGTCCATGCTGGTAATTGAACCTGGGTCCTCTGGGCACAGCTTAGTCAATGGTTACACACACACTCTGTCAGCATTCGCACTCAGATCAGAGGAAGGCTCTTTGCCGTCCCTCTGAGCCGGACCCCGGGAAGGCTTTGACACTGCTATGGTCTGAGGCACTTGTTCTTGTCCACAATCCACACTCACCCAGGGCTTCCTCAGCTCCCTACGGGGGAGGGTCTCTCGGTGAAACCCAGAGCTCCCAGACAAAGCTAATCTTTGCTGCCTTGATTCAGCCTTCTCTTCTCACAGGCTACCAAACCCAAGCAGCATTTACACAGGTTCTGGAGATCTGAACTTGCGTCCTCACGCTTTGGTGGCAAACAGTTAGCCACCAAGTGCCCCCCTTTTTGAGAATGCCATTACATAGCTCAGGTTGCCCTCGGGCCACCATCCTCTTGGGTTTTGCTAGGGTTTAGTCGTAAAACATTCTGCTTGTTTTCTGTGTGTAAGTTATCGGGATTGGACTGAAGTCCCAGGCATGCTAGGCAAGTGGTTTGCCACCCAGGCCCATCTCGCCCTGTTTTGTCTATTTATGCTACATCTTCCTACCCCAAAAATTTTGATAAGCCAAGAATAGCGGTACATGCCTGTTGGGATCAGCACTCAAGAGACTGAGGCAAAAGGATTACTATGAGTTTGAGGCTAGTCTGGACTATGCAGTGAATGGAGGCTCAGAGAGGCCAAGGAATTTTCCTGAGGACACTCAGCCCATAGGATCATTTAGCCCACTGTGGGTCGTGCAAGATTTCAGGGGCATGATAAGGAGATAAAGGGGATCAAATGAGGCTTATAAACAGTAAGTTTGATGGGCTTATGCTTTGCCCTAAGAGTTAAGAAAGCAGTCCTCACAGCTTAGTACAAGTAACTGCGCATCCTCTTACATACGGGAGCAAGGTAGGGAATATTGGTGGAAAGGAAAGAGAGGGTCAGAGAGGTCACAGATGTTTGATGGAGTCTGTTAAGAGCCAGCTCAAGCCAGAGCCAGGAGAGAGGCTGGCAACCGTATTTTTTTTTTTTAAAGTCCCAGACGTGAGGCTGTGTTGGAGTGACAGAGAAGAAAACAGTTGACCCAGCAGGGCGATCTTGGGAGGGAAGCAGAAAGCATGAAATTATTCTTCAAATCTTCCCAGGAGGTCAATTTCCCAAGATCCTAAAAGAAAGGCAATTAAAGTGTTGATGCTCTTTGGACCAAAGCCACCAGCAGGCAGGGGGCACCTGTCACCGCAAACACTGCTTAGCGGAGAGAGGACTGACCGCAGGGTTCAGCAGGGAGGAGCCACAAGCCGGTGAAATCCTGGCCCGGAGAGGACAAAGGACTGGCCCAGGGTGACACAGTGAAAGGCCTCTGTGCCTCTGCCCTTTGTGGCCTCCTTCTGCGCTACTCACATCTCCCCAGGAAGTAGTCACACCCGGAGTTGGATTAGACCCGGTGGCCTCTGGCCGCCGTTCTTCCTCGCCAAGCCTTGGGTTCCCTTCCCTGTGAAGGCACTGTATAGAGGTCCAGGGGATGGTAAATGAGGAAGAAAACGCCGTGAGAACAAGACAAGCCCATGACTTTGTGCTCTCCTCCTGCTCTCCTCTGGGGGGCCCCTCCCACTGCTGAACCAGTGCCCAGGAGTAGAGACCAGAGAGCAGGCGGCAATGGCACCAGAGGGCCAGGAAGGAACCCCCTGTGACAGCTTGAGTGTGTCTCTGTGTGTGTGTGAGAGGACAGCTCTAGAAAGAGGAGACTGTTGTTTGACGCTGTTCCTAGGAACTGTGAACAAATGACCACACACCCCAGACAGGGAATCAAAAACAGACCAAAGTTCAGATACTGTTAAAGTCAGACTTGGTGAACCAATCATTTTTATTGGAGTTGCTTACAGGAGTATGGGTGAGGGGTCACAGGCAGAAATGACTCCAAGGCAGCTGCATCACCAAAGCCCACCCCAGCCCGGGTGACAGCTCACAAAGCTGGGAACCTGGAGCACAGTGCACAGCCTGCAGGCGGCTCAATGGGTCAAGAGTGTCCTTTCCTGGTGCCTCAGTTGGTCTGAGCGTCTTCCAGGCAGCTC